ATAAACACAATATCATGATCCTGGTCACTGAGATATCAGTTTGAGATCGTTATTTACTCTGTGCTGTTTGTATGCAGAGCCAGAGGGCAGACCCAGTCCTTCTGCCCTAATCGTGGTATTTTGGACTTTGGTAGGATGACCATTCACTGAATATGACTCAATGTCAATATGCAGAGATTACAATATTGGTAGGGTGCTCATAGTTGCTTGTAAGCTTTCCTGAAAGCCAAGCCTATGTGTTGCAGATGTGTAGTGTGGATCTCATCTCGTGTGCGTATAGTATTAAGTGTTTTTATTTGGATTATGATACCAATTTGGTCTGCGAATACGCAAGTATACCACATAGATTTTCGTTGTTAGGCTGATTATGTTGTTAGGGTGTAATTATGCTTTCTAACAACAGGTCAACAACTCCAATACCAACGGCAGTTGACCGTCCCAATACAAAAAATGTAAACATGACAATGCTGTTAAGCTGTTAAAATACATAAAAGGAGGAAATTATGTGTTATATAAAAATACTAAGAAAAGGCAACCAAATCTCTCTCAGGCATTTGTGAGATCTGTTCCACCTAAGAAAAAAAAAAACACACGCATTAATAAGGGAAATCTATATGTATGTCGAGACTTGGGTATATTGATGGTCGATTGCACAATGTTGTAAGAAGATTAAGTTTTAATAACGAAAGTTTCTAAACTTAAAATAATTTAATCCTTGATCTAATCTCACCTCCTCGGAAATTTCACGTCAATTTGTAGTTTTGCACCGCGTCAGTTAATTAGTGAGAATGCCAAATAGGTTGGCGCAGACTATATGCGACACCTGGCCTTCATTGAGCAAAGTAGAGTACGAAGTGTGAAGTGTGCTGGTCTGGTATGTGCAGAAACAATAAACATCTAAGTATAGAGCCGTAGCAGCTGCTTGCACAGTTCTGATCTGTGAGGAAGGTGATGCTGCAATGATAATCTATTCTATCTAGGCTATCTAGATGGTTTGATATTCTCAATTTGTCATTACATGAGGTGAAAACGATAAAATATTAAGTGTCGGGTTTTGAGGGGTTATGTAACCTCAGCTGGAGTTTCTTCCGCCTAAAAATATCTCATATTGCTACAACTAGTTTCCCTCTCCCATCTTTGTGTTATGTAGTCTAAGAGGTGATGATAGGTTTGGTAAAAATCAGCTAATGCTTATTAACTATTAACTTAATTGTGGGTTTCTATTCTACCAGATATACCTACCATACTTTTGAAGTCTTAAATACGTGTTTTAATATTGAGATAATATAACATATCTAATTTCAGACTAGTGTTAGCAAAACGGGAGTACCGATGGAGACCAGGTCACAAGTCCCTTCAAACGCACGCACCCCCACAGATCTCCATCGGCACTCCCGTTTTGCTAACACTATAGTTCAACATAAAATCATTAGCTTCCATACAAAACATCAGGTTTAATATTTTTAGTAATACAATACAGATCTGTGGCTGGGGGGCAGGTTTGTTTATTCTCTTTCAAATTAATCCGTGTTCACGTTTAGTGAATATTGTTATGACATGAGCAAATAATTAATACAGATATTTTTCCAAAAATACAACAAACCCACGTATTCTAAGCGTTCCAGACTTGATGATGAGGAAGATTCGTGTACAGTTTTAAAATCATATACGCAATAATCAGAGGCTATCCATGAACTGTTTGGTTTGACCGAAAATCGGGATATAACTTTTAAGTATTGCTTGGATCCATTTTTCTACGATATAGTTGCTGTTACGTAACATGGCCGTCGGCCGTCGCGAGGCCGAAGTCTTGTTGTAGAGGCAGTTGGCAGTTGGCATGTCTCTATGTTTTGTTCTCCGCGACTATTTTCGCCCGATCTCACAGCGCCGCGTCTCCAGAACCCGACACTGTACCTTCTGAGTTCTGACAACAGTAAACCTCGGATAAATCAGTATCTTTCTCATTTCAGCACCCCAGGGTGTTACAAAGTGCACAGAATTACACCTTCGATTAGAACAGAGAACAGCACAGTAGCCTTCGACGTCTATAGAATTACAGCTAGACACTCTTGCCGAGAATATTATATATTACAGTGTACAAAGAATTACACCATACAACTTGAACAATTAATTTCGACTTCAAGATGTGCAACCATAAACTTTCGATGTATACAGTTTGACAAGAAATTGGAATTACACCCTCGCTGCTTACATTACAATGTATTGCATTGATTAAACACACCTTCAAATTGGACAGAGAATTACAAGTACAACCCTGGCCAGTGCAAAATTACACCTTTGCCGTGTTGAGAATTGTATACATCACACGTGAACAATATTACAATCTACAAATAAGAACGTCATCTCCGATTCAATCAGAGAAGTTCAACCTCAACATACTCGAATTGTGCAGATGGCTAAACCGACTTTTACAGATAATTACACCCTTGACGTGTTCACGTGTATAGCATTACACCTTAACCCGTTACTGAGTGCAAAGGAACGTCCAGATAATTAACAATACAACAATATACAAAAATGTTACCTTCAACTCGTACAAGGGTGTGCACCACCACAAGAGTTTTGCATCACCTCGACAATCTCAGAATAACATTTTCGAACAGTTAGCGCTGCAATGTACAGATAAATACACCTTCATAAGTAAATATACACAGTAAATATATACAGTAAATATACACCTTCAACATGTGTTGTGAATTACACCCTTGAGCGTACAAAATTACATCATCAAATTGTAAAGGGTGCGCCAAAATAACCTGACGGTTCTTAATAAATTCAAGAACAAAATACAATTTTATGTATTAATTAATATTATATTGTACACACACTATGCCATTTTCATTTATGAACAATTATATCACTTAGGACCTTCTCCTAATCGCAGGCTTCCCATTTTTTTTTGCAGTCACTTTAGCCTGTTGAATAGAAGCAATCTCTTCCCGGATACACTGATTGAGTTCCTGATGGTTCGAAATTTCGAAACAAACATTTTGCTTTTTAAGTATGCCCATAGACAACAGTAACACGAAATTAAGTCTGGGGATCGAAATGACCACGCACATCACCAAGCTATGAGATCACTTTACCGGGAAAAAGTTCATGCAAAACTGTCATTGAATAATTGGCTGTATGATAAGGTGCACCGTCCTGTTGAAACCACGTGTTGGTCATGTCTATCCCTCCTAACATTCGCAGTTGTGGAACCAAACCCCCCCCCCCCCAGTATGTCCTCATAGCGTTCCAAGTTTACAGTGACAGGGGGTGTTCCCCCTTTCGTCCTTAAAAACATATGGTCCGATGACTCCAAGCCGTGCCACACCACACTAGACAGTAACGAAGTTCTTTCGTTCTTTCGACGAAGTGATGTTTCACCAAACATAACCTAAAATGGCATAACATAAGCAATCGTTCACTACAACAATGAGGCCTCTAGCTTGTATAACAGCTGACTTATTACAAAACAGAAACCGTCAGGTTTTTTTGGCGCACCCTTTATGAATATGAAGTTCTACAGCACAATACTCCCTTGACATGTGCAGTCCTACATTGTTCAACAATAATCGTGGATGTTGTTAAATTTCGATAACTTTGAAATGCACGGCATTGGCACATATGATGATCTCTGGCTACGTCCATTTTTGTGTTTATATATCGATGCGTCCATTAGGCACCATAGAAATGCCACATACGTGGTGTTTCTGCATTAAATAATAAATCTGGAGATCGACTGGAATACAAACACATTAACGTGCACCAAGAGTCTCAAATACTGAAATTTCCACTCAATTAAAGTTGTATTTAACGTTTATCAAGCGAAGAACGTGGAGAGAACAGTACACCGAATAAACGAGGAGACGTTTACGTAAGGGAGTTTTACACTTCATGAGATATCACGTCCACTAATCTTTTGAGCTATTAATAATCCTCGACAACCCCGAGTGGTGGCGCGTATAAATACGCAGCGATAATGTGGGACAGATGGGCTCAATGGCACGCGACTGAGCCTGCCTGCCACCCGCGGCGCCACTCCGACCACATCCCTGTCAACAAGGACGACTACTGTAGGGTTGACTTGCGAGATAAACTGGCCGATTGCTAAATCACATATTGTGACCATGCACCCCAACGTGGGAACCGTTGTACTTCAGACTACAAATAAACTGATTAAACTCTTCAGTTCTTGAAGGATATCGTTTCTTACCAGCAGCTTCAACTGTAACTGGTAGTGTATGGGTACAGTGGACATACCAAGCCCCCTGGCCTTGTTGTTGGTCTAGTGGTAGTGTTATTGCGGTCCTTGTACACTAGTGTAGGCTCCAGTTACAGTTCCAGTCCGCTGAGCCTATCCCGCCTACAGCTCTCATTCATTCTACCTCCAGTGCCTGTGTAGTGTGTGTAGTGTAGTGTTGTGAGTTTGTTTGTACTGTATTACGGTGGTTCAATCAGTAGGTTGGTGGTGTTTGAATGCATCTTATGTTACCATTTTAACAACGTTTATGCTACAAACCCAGAGGAAGGGGATTCCTTCTCATATATCACACAACTCGTGAATAGTGCTGTCGGTGAACAGATTTCACCACAATTACAATAACTTGTTTGATTTCATTACCAGATTTTCCATCGTAATCAAAACAAAAAACAAACAATCGGTTTTTGGCTTATCACTTCCTATTATTATATTGAAGTGTTGTATCCACTAACTGATCTCGACATTCTGTTTGATGATATTCCACATGCGACTCCCAGGTATCACTGGACGTAAGTTATACGATATTAGAACATTGCAAGTTGACAACAATCACCTGCGTATCACCAATACCATCAGCTGTCTGCGATGATCAGCTGTTGTGTTGTGAGTTGTGATTGACCAGTGCGTGCCAGTGCGCGGGTGCCTGTGGCGGCGCGTGCGTGGGTCGTGCGTGGTCGCTCTGTGTATTTTCGGCGACTCCCCTCCAGGCCATCGCTGGCTCAAAGCTCTACCTCCTCATTCTTCGCTCAGATTTCGTATTCGATCGACGCTGTATATATTGTATATTCACGGTCGTGGTTTCTCTATAGAATGACTTGATTTTTAACCGTGAAAAACTGCTTATTTTATCGGACGATATTTTGTGTCAGTGCTTCAGTTCGGTTGTGCCGCTTCTGCTTGTGTGATTGGTAAAAACACGCGCCGCGATGCAGCGCCCGACGCCGCATCAGGAACAACAGATTGTTCAGCAACAACAGCAGGTTGTGCAACAACAACAGCAACAGTTCTCGCAACAGTTTAGCCAACAACGGATTAGCCGCACGGAACAACATGTGACCCGACAGGTCACACAACAACAACAAGGTAAAGGAAATCACTTGTCAATCGAGTTAAAGCAGCTAAGAGCCAGTTTATAGTTTTTAAAAGCATTCATCTCACAAAAGCATTAAAGAAAACCCACCAACCCCATCACCTGGTTAAAATAAAAAAACCTCATTGATTGATACAAGCCATGCCTCATAAAATATTAGCCTGTCCGTGCTCGAAAGCCTGAGTAAAAATCAAAAAAGCAATCCGCAGTGTTTGATAATAAGTGTCAACGGAACCAGCTGGTTTTAATTTTTCAGTTAAGAAATCGTGTTTGAAATTATCTCCAATAGATTATCGTTATTGCTCGAGGCGTTATCAAATAACTAAATTCTTGTCTCGCTGGAACTAGTAAAGTTCACCATTTTTTTTAATTTAAAAAGAACATAGTTGTCAAGTTGTGTGAGCAAATTTACAGAATGCGCTAGTGTCTAAAATGCTATTTTCTACTTTATTTTTTGTGGCTGACCAATTTGATCGGTCATGAGAGTTGCTAGCTCACAATAAGTCATTCCACTAGTTTGACTTGGTAAAAAAGATCGTTTATTCGACAGATATTAGTAAAATTTAGATCAGCACAATCCGTCGGTGGCTCACGTACACCACGACAATTAAAAAAAAAAAACTTGGCACAACTTTAACATAGGGATGAAAAGTCTAGTTGTATCAATAGTCAAAGGTTACACTCTATTGTTAAACCCTGTGGACGTAATTTTTTTAATGCTATTGAACATCATACTGTATAACCCAACTTAATTGTTTAGTTGAATCAGCTTTTAAGATTACCTATTTGATTTTTTTAAATATGAGAATACCCATAAGGAAGTTCAGCCCAATCCGACCAGTAGAAAAAGCACACACACAAACTTTCAGCTGTAGTAGCGCTGCACATGGAAAACGGTACTGTACAACGCGCGCGCCTTATGATAGCATTGAATATATAACAGTCTATATTCAATGATGATAGTATAGTAATTTCCCGACGAAACAACCTGCTCCGGACAACACATCAGACATTTGTCGTCGGAAATGGGACACTTTACATTTTGGGAAATACCAATGAACGTAATATTTAATGACAAAAAGTGTGGAATATTAATAATGGTAGAAACATCATATCACGTGAAATAAATTATTATTTTTGTACATTTGGAGCAGTAACACCTGAAAAAGTTAATAAGTTAAACCGCTCGCTTGTTATTATTACATAAATTAGCCCATACATCTTGTAGTGTTTGAATGTTTATACTAAAAACAGTTTATGATTATGATATCAGAGTCGTAGGATATATTGAGTATGCATCTTTATTTCTAATATCCAAACTTTAGACGTTTATTTTTTTGAGAATAGTTTGTAAATCCACGTCATGCTATTGTAAAACTCACTTAATAAAATACGAGTAATAATAGGTACAATAGTTTTTAAATACGAGACAAAACCGTATTTTTCCAATATTTTTTTTGAAAACGAGGTTAACACTATAAATCTGAGGTTTTTTTACTGTTAAAGTAATACGAGTGTATTTACAATTTTTTATAATGACTTAAGATGAGAAAATTTTGAATAAATTGTTGCATAAATAATTCTGCATTATCAATTATTTCATAATAATAGTTTTATTAGATTTTTTCACGCAGTGTTCTATAACATTATTGTTTTAATGGAAACCAACATCCATTGACAATCATAAATGCTATGAATGTTTTGTTTAGTTAAACCTCTTAAACAAATAAACCACCACCGAGCATGGCACTGTCATTTAGATAGGCAATAAATAATACGTGTTTAATGAAATATGCAAGTGAAAATCCAATAAGGCAAATGGAAATTCGCTTAGTCTGCAGGCTTGTTGCGGCGGGGGTATATTTATCTTTGTATGTTACGTAAGATCCAGTTGTAAGTTTAATAATAGCACGACTTTTAGAAAAGATTAAACGAAGACACGTATGAATACATGACACTTGTCACTTTACTTCAAAATTTACAATTTAGCCTATCAGTATGTTTTTATGAAAATAATTCCACTTTCCTTCCAGCTAACATAATACTACAACGTCTATTCAATAAAACAAGTACATTTTATTTGGCTCGTTGGTGACAAATTAATGTGAACTTCCAATTACATTCAGTACCCACAAATGAAGCAAAATACCATCGTTTACTTCCGTTAACCAATGCTTAGTTGTAACCTACGAGTACCAAACGATAGTTAAGATATTATAAATATAAGGACCCTCCATAAAAAAGCTGTCAACAACAATTTAGTTTAAATATTCAGATTTTTTTTCTGAACCTTCTTACTAATATTACCTTCATATCAAAAAACAAATTCAAGAACTGAAACAAATCATTAAAATTAATCTATTGCGTTTCAGTTTTGTTTACAAACCACTGATTGCTGATTGCTTGTTTTTGTATGCCTGGAACAATTTTAGCTCAATAAAGCTAAATGGTGATGTATAAAACTAAGCTGTCAAATCTGTTTAGTATTTTCGTCCAGATTGTGTTGCACGTGTTTGGGCCACTCGTAAATTGTATGACTAACAAAACAAAGACCTCCAAGAGAGAAGTGCATGGCCCTGAGTCTAGACATAAAAGCGAATACGAACACAGCCCACCGTTGTATACGCAGCCGACATTAATTTAATATGTTGATTTTTAAACAAAATTCATGGATAGTTTATATAAAAATACTCACCTAATATAAATTAAAAATATTTTAAAACCAACATTATCTAACTTTATATTGAATTAACATCGAAAACTAGAGATATATTTGTCTGAAGACGATTAGTGGCAATCAAGATCGATCATTGCCTTCTTGTCACAATATTTATGTAAATGTACATCGTATGCGAATATACTGTAGTCCAAATGCAAATTCATCCACTACTAAGTCAGTACGTTTTAATTCAATCCAATAAATATCTAATTGCCTATCAGACTCTTATCTCTTACACTAGTCTCATATGCAGAAACTAAGGACGAGCTGGCTGATAGCAGATCAGCCGCCATGTGTTTATGGCACGGACAGTGTCACTTACTAGTCTCATATGTAGAAACTTATCAGATTAACAGCCATGTGTTCATGCAAGGACAGTATTACTTACACTATTCTCATATGCAGATACTAAGGACGAGCTGCTCTGATAGCAGACCAGCCGCCTTGTGTTTATGGCACGCACAGTGTCACTCACAATAGTCTCACATGCAGAAACTAAGGACGAGCTGGCTGATAACAGACCAGCCGCCACGCGTTTGTGGCACGGACAGTACCATTCACTTACACTAGTCTCATATGCAGAAACCATGAACGAACTGATCTGATAGCAGATCAGCCGCCACGCGTTTGTGGCACGGACAGTATCACTTACACTCGTCTCATATGCAGAAACTAAGGACGAGCTGGCTGATAACAGACCAGCCGCCATGTGTTTATGGCACGGACAGTATCACTTACACTCGTCTCATATGCAGAAACTAAGGACGAGCTGGCTGATAACAGACCAGCCGCCACGCGTTTGTGGCACGGACAGTACCATTCACTTACACTCGTCTCATATGCAGAAACTAAGGACGAGCTGGCTGATAACAGACCAGCCGCCATGTGTTTATGGCACGGACAGTACCATTCACTTACACTCGTCTCATATGCAGAAACTAAGGACGAGCTGGCTGATAGCAGACCAGCCGCCACGCGTTTGTGGCACGAACAGTACCAATCACTTACACTCGTCTCATATGCAGAAACTAAGGATGAGCTGGCTGATAACAGACCAGCCGCCACGCGTTTGTGGCACGGACAATACCATTCACTTACACTAGTCTCATATGCAGAAACCATGGACGAACTGATCTGATAGCAGACCAGCCGCCATGTGTTTATGGCACGGACAATACCATTCACTTACACTCGTCTCATATGCAGAAACTAAGGACGAGCTGGCTGATAACAGACCAGCCGCCATGTGTTTATGGCACGGACAGTATCACTTACACTAGTCTCATATGCAGAAACTAAGGACGAACTGTTCCACATTCACCGGATACTCGCAATTATTCATCAATGACCGTTACACTCTCCGCGTTATTATGACGCTTCCTTCCCAGCTCCTAGGGAACTTTTATCAGACAAGATCGCGATACTATTCAACAATTGCGGATCATTTACATCTAGTCTACTAATTATAGACACCGTCTATTCACTTTTCTCTTGTCTTTAAAAGACGTTTATTTACATTTCACACGTGTTTAGCAACAAGGTTTCCTACGTTGTCAGTTTGAATTGCCTCTTTGATGCAATTGAATTCTCAGAAGAAGAGTACAACTTTATGCAGCTTTCCTGTATTCATGTTTTGTCGATGCCTGGAATACCTTTATATCTTTACTGTAAATACTTCAACCACTGTCAGATTTGAAGGTATTAAATGCAGCAGCTGTTTTAGCTTAAAAAGAAGTCTAAACAGTGTTTACTTTCATTCAAAACGAACAATTAATCAGCTGATTAACAGAGTGATCAGCTGTTAAAGATTCCATTACCTGTAACTGAAAAGCTTAATGACCCTGTAACATGAAGGAAGATTTAATTTCATTCAATCCTTTTAAGACCTTTTTCTTTGTAATTGAGAAGCTGATACGAATAATCGAATAATCTCCAAATATGGCTTTAACCACCGGTTGTACCACACGAATTTACCTCTATGAAGCCCCGTGGTCCACTTTGGCGGTGGTCCCCGATATTTCACGCACTTTGCCGCCATTCTGCGGTACAGTGCGGGAGGTATATACAGGGTGTGAAGTTACCTGCAACATTACCTCACCACAGAGCAACCTTGTGGTGTAAACCTATACCGGGCTCTAGTTACATTTCCTTATATACATTCTTTTACTAGGCTTTTGCGTGATGATATTTTTACTGTTGCTCTCCACAGAAAGGATGCGAGGGATTGATGGACGTATACAATTTCAATAAGAGTTAAGACACCACCTTTTGGAT